AGAATAGAGATAGAATGAAGCAGAATGATGAAAAAGGGGTCCCTATGTCCTCCAGCAGTCTAAACCTATAGCAGCATAACTATAGAGATAGCTCACTCACCTTATAACCATATGTGTGCCTTAAACCTGTAATGTTTGACTTCATGTATGTACAGACCACATTATTTTCTACATTTGTTCAAAATCTTTAATAAAATAAAGGTATACGTGTAACATAATGCAAGCCTAAAGAAAAATATTGAAGCGTAGAGATATATTTTGAATAAAAAGAGGATCTTTTTACGTGGCAACATGATAGTTTATTGTAGAGACGTGAGTTTTATTACATTATTGTGTGTTTTATTGTTGGGGGGGGGGTAATATCTTGGCAAGATGGAGGTTGAGATGAAAACCATTTTTGGTTTTCAAGAAAAAAAACTAATCGCCTGAACTTACACGGACCTTTTCTATCATAAAAACAAAACATAATATCATGTACAGGTTTACTTTGTACATAAACGTTGTCCTTCTGAGGCTTTGTGAAGATAAATCTGTGTTTAGCAGAAATAATGTACCAGTTTAATAATGGAGAAGCTATTACTCAGGTTTATACTTTTTTTAATATATAAAAACTTTCCTAGAGCAGCTATGCAAATGAACTAACAGCAGTATGGAGGACCAACTCTGCCATATTAAAAAATAAATACAGAAATCAATAACTGCTCAATAAATAAATAAGCAGACAATTAATTGATTCCCCCCAAAATACAATAAGCTAATAAATGTAGGTAGAAATAAATTATACAGTGAAACATAAATGAATATATATCTCTTTTAATCAGCTTATTTATTTGTTCGCCTTTGTAATAATTACCTTATTTATTTATTGTCCGTTATAATCTTCAACTTTATTTATTTATTACTTATTTTTTAAGTATCCGCCTGATACTCTGGTGGAGACGGGGCGTTGCTTACAGGCGCGGACCTCTGCCCTGAGAGGGCCGACGGTTCGCCTCCCAGACCATTTTAAACCAGACTTTAAAATGGTCTGGTTTTCTTTTTTCGCAAAAATTTATCTTGTAATAAGTAAAAATCTCTTCAAGTGTATTTCCCCTTAATTTGAGTAGGTAGTTAAGATGATTTGCCAATGGAATGAACTTTCTTTACTATCAAAATAAGATAATTAGATAATGTGCAATTCAAATAAAACAATGCAACAGTTTCTTCTTACTTTAAATGTAAATTGTCTTGTTCCATTGGCAAACTGACTCACATACCTCCTCAATTCAAGAAAAAATGCACTTCTTTTAAGAAACAATGTACGGAAAAGGATTAGGGCCACTAAAAAAATAAAAAAAAGTTTACTGATTTTTAAATTTTGTTTCAGTATAATATGAGAAAAAAGTCAGAATTATGACAGATAACAAACCTGTTAGCATCAAGCCGTAGCCATGTCTGTTTTAGAGACCAGCTCTCTTGTTTTAATCCCCTTCTGCTCCTCCATTACA